TGTGGTTCATAGACAACACAGTTGGGTAGGGCTATTGATTGCTTCCCTTTCGTGGTATTTCACATAGAACCTTCTAGTACTGTGAAAGCTATTCCACAAGGAGGAGGTTTTTAGGCAAGATCCAGATTGAATCTTCTAGGTCCTGTGTCCAAAGTACTTCAGCAATAATTGGGACATACTTTCAACCTCTGGGAGTCAACCAAGAGCAAGTACAGCGTTCTATATTGTTTTAGGAGTCTCTTGGACTCCCTGACCAACAGCTCAAAAGATTTCCCATGCTGGGTGGTGGGGTTTTGTTAGGTGGTCCATGGTTCTTGAGGGAACATTGTTGCTCAAGTGGCATAACTTAGATTAGATTTCATGCATGTATATAATGTATTCTGATTGCTCTCACCTCCGCATCCCCACATCCCACTTTGCCATTCTGTTTTATTTGAACCGGGTTTGAATAGGACTGTCACTATGGATGTGAGATTAGAACTATCCATAGAGCCTAGTGGTTCACCAGTGGGTATACAACTGAAGACACTGACTTTCCTAGAGTCTGACCAATAGCCTGCAGTTGAGCAGAAAGGGGCGGAGTCCCTTGATTCTAGCCTCCACTCACAATGGAGTATTGAGAAGGCTTTTTCATGCAGTCCAATGCCAGTAACTGGCGTGTCTAGAAGATGAGAAGTGAATTGTTAAGGGCTGAGTCCTCCTCTGTTACTTACCCTCAGCGTCTTGAGTCTCCGCATTCACTGCTGTTTACTAAAAAGATAGACTTCTCTCATTAGGGTTGAGAGTAGACTTTGTCTTAAGGGTATAATTCAGATATTTAGAAGGCAGTTTAACATCGTGTCCATTTAGCTTAAATTAACATCAGTGGTAATTTCCTTCATGAGTTTTCTCTTCTGTGGAGTGGGCTTCAGATCCAGTCAACCCCACATAACAGTTGCACCGCTCTTGCACATGTGGGCACATTTTGCTTGACAGCTTTGTGTTGTATATGGAGTTCACTGCTGAGTAAGATTGTTGATAGTTTTCTTTTCTGCCCAGTAGCCTGTGTAGGGCCCTCCTGCAGTTTGAAAGCTAGCAAGCAGGGAAGTTTTCCAGCCCAGCTTCATTTCTCTATATCTTGCAACCAAGATGTATAATGTCTTAAACAGTAAGTCCTGCTCTGGTGGTCAACCACATGGGAAGACAGGAGATTATATTGTTTTGGAGCCTCTGGGTCCTCACTGACCAACTGCTCTTATGGAGATTTCCCACACTAGCACTAGGATTGTTGCTTAGTATCTTGCCAGGTGTTCCCATTCAAACATTTATTTTTTAATTGGATTAGGAGATTGTAGTTTTTATATGGCCTTTTTCATACTCCTGTATGTTTTTATTTGTTCCTGTCTCTGTTTTCTCCATCCTCTCCCTCCATCTTTAACCCTTTCTGTCTCAATTAATGCCCCTCTGATCTTTCAGTTTTACTTGTGTTTTACAATCCTTCTCCCTAAGGTCATTCTCGTATCCCAACCCTGACCTCTTTTTAGTTTCATGACTTCCACAAGTCCTCTTAAGTTAAACACAAAACCCCTAAAATTGAAGCTAGGATCCTTTAGAAAAGAGAACATGTGGCATATGTCTTTCTGGGTGTGGATTAACCTTATTCAAAACCCCCTCCTCCAAATGCCAATTTCATCCATATTCCTGGAAAAGTCAAAATTTGCTTTTCCTTTACAGCTGAATAGAACTCATTGTGTGTTTGTACAACATTTTCCTATCCACTAATTGATGGGCGTCTAGGCTGGTGCCAATGGCTTGCTTGACAAGAAGGTAGTGGTGAATATGTATGGACAAGTGTCTCTGTAATAGGGCATAGATTTCTTTGGTTATATGCCCAGGAGTGGTATAGATGAGTCATGATAATGTTTTTTCTAGTTTAGTGAGGATCCTCCAGGTTGTTTTTCAAAGTGGCTGCACTACTTCACACTTCTACCAACAGTGTAAAAGAATGCTCTCTATGCTGCACAGATGTTTGTTGTCATTATTCTTGGTGACCATACTGACTGGAGTGAAATGGAATTTCAAGATAGTTGTAATCTGCATTTCCTTCATTGCTAAGGATATTTTTAAAATTAAGAAGTATTTAGTAGTCATATGTATTTCTTCTCTTGAGAATTCTTTATTTAGTTCCATACCCCACTTTTAATGTTTTCTTAATGTTTAGGGTTTTTTTTTTGATTTCTTGTATATTCTGTTTACTAATCCTGTGTCAGATATATAACTAGAAAATATTTCCTCCCATTCAGTGGTAAGTCCTACCCCATGGCTTTTGCTTTGCTGCCTCCGTGGCCTCTCTCTTGGGTTGACTCACTTACTGCGTGTGGTTTACCTTGACGTTTATCCCACATTCATGGCATCTCTGACTTCTAGGATCTGCATTGCTGTCATTCAGCTCCCATTGTCACAGATGCACAAATTACAGTCTTAGCTGCTGCAGGGATCTTGACCCTTTCCCTGGCTTCTCAAGCATTTCTTTGAAATCTGGAGGGACGCTTTCATGACCATATAATTCTCAGGACTCTTTTCTTAAAATCGAGTCAAATGTAGGGTATGGCATGACTCCTTGAGAGTCCTTTAAATATCCTTCCTACTGTACTGTTGTAGAGTATTTGTCTAATTTTTTATTGGTTTCAGTCTCTTCAATAACCATAGTTTACTGCCCTCAACTTTGCTCAGTTTCTTTCTGAGCAAACTACAAACTTTCTAGGCCTTTCTGTTGTGTTTTCCACTGTGATTCTTCGTAAATTTGGCTAAAAGAGGCAGTAATCATGCTACAGCCTGAATGGTGGGCTGGCATTAAATATCCTCAAGCAGATTATTAAGTACTCCACTCCTTTGAAGTTTAACCTTCCATAAGTCTCAGGACAAGACTAACTGTAGCAAGTTCTTTGCCAGAGTGTAACACGAATGGCCTTTGACTCCATAACCTGTGGAGTCCTTAGTTGAGGTTTGAAGCCTCTTGAGCACAGCCTATACTGTCTATATTCTGTTAGCATTCTAAGCTCACACCTGAGCTTCCTATTGAGCTCTGCTTACAGCATTGCAGGATTCTCTTAACTTGTATCTTCAAGTTTTTTCAAATTCCTCCCACAGATCTGTAATGAAGAGTTCTCAATCATATAAGGTAAACTCATAGGAGCAACTCCACTTCTGATTTCATAGGTTCATAATTTCATAGGTTTCAGTCCATCAGGGTAGGGGCAGAGTGAAGCAGCTCACATTGAAGCAGATTGAGAAATCTAGTTTATTTAAATTAATTATCTAACTTTTAATAATTTGTGTATGCTTGGTACATGTGTGTTCACATACATATATGATGTATAGGTGTGGGCGTGCATGTGCATGCGGAGGCTAGAAGTTGATGTCAGATATCTTCTCTAGTCATTTTCTACCTTGTTTTCAAGACAAGACCTTACTGAATCCAGACGTCAGCACATTTGCTAGGCTGGCTGGCTCATTGAGCTCAGGGCTTCATGCACATGTGGCAGGTACTCTGTGGATTAGATCATCTCTCAAATTCTGGAATTCTTTCTTGATGCAGTACCTGCTATTCCATCTTGTGATTTCTAGATTTCATAGGCTTCCTGGTTTTTAATACTTTTCTGCTTGATTCAGTGGCGTACTCTATTTTCAGAATCACCTTCCTTGTTCTGTGATCTAGAAACTTGTGTTTAAGTAAAAGTGTGCACTAAAGTGTGGAAAGCATCTGGAGGCAGAAAATTGGAACAAACTTGTGGCTTATCTGACTTGTTTCCTTTTTGTGAATTATTATTCATTACTGCCTGCCCCAATGGCACCAAACACCTCAGTATATATTAACTAATTAATTTTCAGTGACAGGGCAGGGGGCGGGGGGAAGCGTCAAACTCAGGGCATGCTAGGCACTCTGTCATTGACCTACGTGCACATCTGCTTAGTTTTCATTTACAGTAGTTTCAAAATAATGAATTGAGAAAAATGAGGCAGAGAAATAAAGAATAGAAAGTAAATACAAATGTAGACTGAGGATGTATTGTATCTCAGTGATAGAGTGCTTCCCTAGGTCATAAAAGTCCTATGATCAGTCCCTAGCATCTCAGAAACAGAAAACAAAGGCAGCTGTTTCCTTCATTGCTTTACATAACCAGAACTGCTGTCCATAATAAAAATTCCGAGTATTAAATGTTGGTCTAGATGCCTGATGATTTCTATCTCTGTTATCTGGTAGTTAGCCTAAAATTCTTTTTTGGTAGGTCACTGAGTTTGTGACACAGTCATTTTCAGCAACTTTGAGCAGAAAATTGGACATTTAGCCCAGGTACAAATAGCTGCAGTATGTGTTTCTTATGTCATAGTTCCTGAGGTTCCTTTCCATGACACAGTGCTTCTTTCTCATGGGTAGTTACACCTCTTATCCCTGTCTGCACTCATTCCTTGTTATGTTCCTCATCCCTGTCTCTTCCTCATTAGGACGACCATGACCACTCCTGCACTACTGTAAATAAGACTTAGGCTCTAGCATCCTTTCCTATGCCACGATTATTCTCCTTGCCTGATTGCATTATTTCACCAATTCCTGTTGCATATCCTTAGACCTATCTTCTTTTGATCATCATCTTTCCCTTGCTCACAGTTGTGTGGAGAAGGTCAAGCTGGCTCTGCTTGGGCCAGGACCAGAGGGAGTTCTTGTCACTACCAAAACTATGAGGCAACATTTCCCAGTACATAATTCATATGTATTTTCTAGTTTTGTGATTGTTTATAGTAGGACTATAAATCTTGCTGCATTCATTTTGCAGAATTAGGTTGAAATGCCTCATCTGTGTCTAAGCAAGAGAATGGTTTACCTTTGGAAAGCTTAAAGGAGCTAGCATATAGTTTGACGATGTTGTTAATAATCAAACCCTTGTACAATATCTCCCCTTTTATACACTAAGTGGAGGAAGCTAGATGTATTATTAATTGTTAAACTTCTCGTTTTTTAGACCTAAAGATTGTCTTCGTTCTATTATGAGAAGAGTGAACCATAAAGACCCCCATGTTGCTATGCAAGCTTTAACTGTAAGTAGCTTTGTTTTAGGTAAGCAGCACTACTTAATTATCTTTCAGCATTGAACTCTTTTAATTCCTCACTCTATCCTTACAGCTTCTAGGAGCATGTGTATCAAATTGTGGCAAAATTTTTCACTTAGAAGTATGTTCAAGAGACTTTGCTAGTGAAGTAAGCAACGTACTAAATAAGGTAAGGAACATTATGTCCAGAAATCAAGGAAGTCATCTTTCTTTGTGTTTTTTATTGTTAAGTTTTTCCCATTTTAAATTCCAAAGAACATGTGTGTGCGCGTCTGTGTGTCTGTGTGTCTGTGTGTTCCTAGACTGTAAGTAAGAACTGTGTTTCCTTGAAAAGACTATAAATCCACATGTGTTTTTATATTGGTTCTTCTTCTGCAAGCCACATTGTAATAGGTTTGGGGTTTTTCTATATTTTCATTTGATAAGAAAAGATACATTCCTGGGTAGAGTTACGGCAAGATATTTTATATTATTTGTGACTATTGTGAAGGGTGTTGTTTCCCTATTTTCTTTCTCAGCCCATTTATCATTTGTATAAAGGAAAACTACTAATTTGAGTTAATTTTATACCGGCCATTTTTCTGAAGTTTTTTTATCAGTTGTAGAAGTTCTCTGGTAGAATTTTTGAGGTTGTTTATTTATACTATACATCATCTGCAAATAGTGATACCTTGATTTCTTCTTTGCCAGTTTGTATCTTCTTGATCTCCTTTTGTTGTCTTATTGCGCTAGCTAGAACTTCAAGTACTATATTGAATAGATACAGGGAGAGTGGGCAGCCTTCTCCCTGATTTTAGTGAGATTGCTTTACGTATCTATCTCTTCATTATTTAATGAAATACCAGTTTAGGACTTTTTTTTTTTTTTTTTTTGTACCTGCAAAGGCATTTCCCTAATGTAGAATCCTTCAGAGAAAACTGCTACAATTTAAGGTTCTGTTAACTCTTCATCTTATGTGATCAGGGATACTACCTGACTGGTCATCACTGTGTTTTCCAACTGTATTACTGTATTACTATTCTATTGGGCCATACCTTTAGATGGAGTTGCCTTTAATGTTGTAGCAGAAAAGTTCTTACTGGGAACTGCCCCCAAGCTCTGGGTTGGTTGTGATTCTAAACTAAGAAGCACTCAGTTTCAGGGATGTAAGCTCATGCTGGTATTTGTTAGTGGTTTTTATTTGCCTTGCAGTTTTTAGCAATGGAAATATGGAATTTTTCCTTGTTGCTTATATATAAAGCATGTAAAATTGTAAATTACACTGAAAAGTCCTATCATTTTGATCTCCAAAATAATCTATTACATATTTAGTGTATCAGTTAAGTGAGATATAGACAATGATATTTTTCTTTTTTTTTTATGGTAAGAAACATTAATTGATTTATAGATGCTGTTTTAGGTTTATAAGTATTGCAATAGAAAAGAAATATATTTTAACTGGAAAAATGGTGCTTTATCATTATTTTTTCTTTCTTGTTCCTTAGGGTCATCCTAAAGTATGTGAAAAATTAAAAGCTCTTATGGTTGAATGGACAGATGAATTTAAGAATGATCCACAGCTTAGTCTGATATCTGCAATGATTAAGAACCTTAAGGAACAAGGTGTAACATTCCCAGCTATTGGCTCTCAGGTATTTTGTGAAAGTTATATATGTTATACTTTAATTTTTCTTCTAAAGTTGCTATGTCTGTTTAAACTTTTCTCTTTTTTTATTTATAGTTACCTTTGAGTGCTATAGTATGGTTTACTGATAACATTTTATTTAGAGACTCCCCCACAAAACAAGCTGTAGTTGAATACTAGTGTGCCTTTCCCACCACCTCTCATTCAGAAAGAAACTGCTTTAATGTTTTATAATTTAAATTTTTTTATTCAGTTTGAATATAACAAAATTGCATTGGCTCGGGTAACTGTGGAAAGTCTTGTTAAATGCCTTTAATGCTATTACTTTATCTACAAAGAATGATAGCTTAAAAATTAGTGTGACTTTTTAATTGAGAAATTTATGAATACCTTTATTTAAAATGAGGAAATACGAATGGTCAGTAGAAAAAGAAGCATATGAAATGACCAATTTGAAGAGCTAAGTAGAGCCTGCTTTCTGAGAGCATTTATTGGATGCACTTACGTTTAGATCAGATGTCATTGGGGCAGGAAGTATAATGGACACTGGTAAAGTATTTATTGTTGATTGGTATAGAAATTAAATTCTCTTGCTCGCATTATTTGAAATGTAGAAAACCTATACTGAAGAATTTTCATATAGATACATGCAAGAACTATTCTTATTTTAATTATTATTCTTTCAACTAATTGTATAGAAAATAAAATATGAGAGAATTGTGATTGTGTTTTATTATTTCTGAAAAGCCTTTCATTAGAAGCTGTAACTATGTGTTTAATGGAAAACAAATGATGTAGGTCCAACTATAGAGTCCCCTCTCTTAAAGCTCTGTAGCTTAGCTGCTGAGGTCCTTGCTATAGTTTCTCCAGACTAGATTTTTATTAGAGCACACTTAGCAACAGCTTCTGAAGATATAAAGATTTTTCTAAATATATATTTTTATTCAAAGACAGAAGATTATGTAAACATGTTGTGGAAATCATACTTCCCACTAACTCACGCTGCTGTTCTGTTAGCACCTAATACAGTGGTGGAAGACTAGCACTGCTGACCTAGTTAATGATAAGTATCTTGGTTAGCTAATGGCTGTCATGATAGGAACTAAGGAGCACAGAGCTTAGGAATACTGTGCTTATGTGGCTTTTCTGAACTTACCTCTCAGCTGTTAGAGAGTTTCTTCAAATATATCAACTTATCTGTGTATTAGGTTCAACAAATAATGAAAAAAGTCATATAAGTAATAAAGGCTGTCTCTGAGCAAGTTTATTTATAACTTGAAGAAGTGTATAGTAGTTATATCAGAATGTAAGAACTAACTAGGAATGGGTCAGAATTAAAAGATTTTAAAATTGTGTTTAAATAAAGAAAAACTGCCTGGGCATCTAATAATGGATAATACAGTAAGTGGTAAATCATAACTATATTCTGTTGACATGTTGACTGTTTACCATGCATTACACTCAACATACATTTTATTCATTGCTTATAATAGATACATTCCTTCTAGGAACATATCGTCTGGTGGGAGAGATAGAAGCTCAGTTACAATAGAAGCTGAAATTTGTGGCTTTTGTTAGCCATTGTTATATGTGATTCTTATCTCTTCTCTTCCTTCCTTCCTTCCTTCCTTCCTTCTTTCCTTCTTTCCTTCTTTCCTTCTTTCTTTTTGTTTTTTGTTTTTTTTGTGTTTTTTTTTTTGGTTTGGTTTTTGTTTTTGAAATAGTCTTTTTCTGTGTAGCTCTGGCGCTTACTCTGTTAATTTCACTTTTTTAATTGATTGGAATACTTTTTATTGATTGGTAATCAAATCATTGTTTTATCATTTGCTATTCCACACCTCAACATGCCTTGTACTGTGGTTTTCATATGAATTTCCTCTATACACATCATGGTAAGCCTCTAGATAAGATAGGATATAAATGTTATACTTCTGCTTTGAACCCAGAATGAACCTCCTCTCATCTGGTTTTAGAAGTTGCACATGCTAATTCAGGCCTTTAACTATGTTATAAGATATGAAAGGAAAATGTTCTTTTCTATAATGGCTTTATTGGGAAGTTTATGAAGAGTGGCTAGGGACACCTGGTAGCATATGGCTAGTATATGAGATGTGGAATTTGCATCCATGTTTGCCTCATCCTTAACTTGTAATTTTAGTCACCCATCTTATACTGCCTTGTTCTAAATCCTTGTTTAAGTACCAGAGGTTAACAAGGGTGCTGAACTAAGGGCTTAAGAATGTTTCATGGAGGGAGTGATTTGTTAGCTACTTACTGGCTGTTTGGACTCAGTAGGGAACAACAACAAATTGATGGATCAGAATGAACCGAGGGGAGCATGTAACTAGAACAAATGCAGACCATGGGTATACTAGTTGTAGTGTGCAGTTTGCTCAGCAACCACTGTCCGCTTTTGGGCTGGAGACTGAAAAGGAGATTGGCAAAATAGGCTGCATTCTAACCTGCGTTGACAGTATGCAAATTCCCAGAGGCCATGAAGGCCATGAGCTTTAGAAGCTTCTAATTGCAGACATGGGAATTAGCTCACGTTTTTATCTGCACATTATTTTGTTTACAATATAATTAATTGTAAACATTGCCACACTGCCAGAGGTGCCTGTATTTTAGTTTATAAAGTGTAAATATTAGCACATACAGATTACTTTCTGCCTTTTGACCTGAAAGAAACAGTAAAATACAACTATTAAATTTGTATTAAAAATTTCCTAAGCTATTTTTAAAGTAATTCTCCAATTTGCTCTCATAATTTGTCTTTTAGCTCTGGAATTTTTGTAAAATTATAAAACACTATTTTTGTTTTTTTCTGTCTCGAAAGCTGTTTTTAAGTTTATTGACTTTGTGTTAATCTGGAGAAATGCAGGTGGTCTATCCACCTTCCCAGTAGCTTTTTATTTTTCATTTCTGATGCTCCTTCCTCTTTCAAGTGGAAAGCCTTCCAGATTGGGTGTCTTTTCTTGAGAAATCTGTAGCAGAGGAATGAGGGTTCTATTGAGATTTTAGGTTAGATATACATGTAAGACATTTTGAGAATGACCCTCATACCCTTTTCTGTATGTGTTAGGCTGCAGAACAAGCGAAAGCAAGCCCAGCTCTAGTAGCTAAGGACCCTGGCACTGTGGCTACTAAAAAGGAAGAAGAAGATTTGGCAAAGGGTGAGTTTGTGAATCCTGGAAGGGGAGGGAAGAAGACAGATCTCTGACTGAATAATATTTCTTAGCTATTTACAGATAAAGGAAATGTCTTCAGATAAAGCAGAGCTGCTTTATTTTTTAAATGGAGTCTTTCTGTTACCTAGGATAACTTTAACTGTGCTTTTTCAATTAAAAGGCCATACATTTTAAAAAAGTTTATTTTTTTCAGTAATAAGTGAATATATATATATATATATATATATATATATATATATATATATAACTGCTAATGGTTTGTTATTGTACGAGGGTATGCTCGTATCTCCTGTTATACTATTGAAAAATAATACTTTCAGTGTATTATTGGCCATACTAACATTTGAAGTCTTTAAAATCTCACTGTTTGCAGCTATTGAGTTGTCCCTCAAGGAACAAAGGCAGCAGTCAACCCCCCTCTCCACGTTGTATCCAAGCACATCCAGTCTCCTCACTAACCACCAACACGAAGGCAGAAAAGTTCGCGCTGTGTATGATTTTGAAGCTGCTGAGGATAATGAGCTTACTTTTAAAGCTGGAGAAATTATTACAGTCCTTGATGACAGGTAATAGTTAATTACACATTGAACACTCTTGCAAAAATATATTCCCTAATACCCTTGCTTTAATATGACTGAATGTAATTACGAAACATAATCAAAATATTGACTAGATGTTTTAGATGATGGTTAACTTGCTGCCTCATACTATACAGACTCATTGTGTAGGATAATTTCCCCTAGTTTATGTTACTTAAATAATTTTTATTTGCTTTAGAAACCTGTTTTGTTCCATCCAAGAATTTAAATTGTTAAATTTTTTAAAAGGTTAAATTTTTAGAAGATATGGTAGATTTATTTGAAGAAGTTCATGATCTGTTGATAGTGTCCCTACAGAACCATATATCCATATAAAACATAATAACTTTATGCTTATGGTATCATGGGAGAACTATATAGGTTTTTAGAGTTTACCCATAATTTTTTTATTTGAAGTGAATCATAACATATTAGAATTTGTAACTGCTTTTAAAAAATGAATTTGGATTGATAAAGGTTATTTTTAAATCTTTTTTTTTTTAATTGTATTGCTTTAGTCCTTTTAAACAACAGAAATTTACTTCTCCGAGTTCTGAGATTGAAAAACCCAAGCCCTGGCAGATTCAGGTTCAGACACAGCTGTGTGCTCACTGTGCTGTCACATGTAGCTGCAGGAGCAAAGAAGAGATCAGAATTCTCTTTTATAAAGTTACCAGTTTCATTCCGGAAAGTTCTGCCTTCATGAGTTAATCACCTTGCAAACACCTCCTTCTGACACTGACAAGATTTCAGCATGTGGATTTTAGGAAGACAGACATTCAGACCATTAATATTTTCATGAAGAAGCCAAACCAATGTAAACTTTGAGCCTACTAGCTAGCATTGCAATTTGGTTATTCATTCTTTGGAGAAATATTTGAAGTGTTTATTAAACACTTGCTGGCCTTTCCTACAGTAGGCACTGGGGACAGTTTCATTTCACGTTTCGTACTATAGATAGTATACTACAGAGAGCTCTTACATAGAAGCCCAAGTGACTCCCTGACACTTGTAGCTTTAAGCCTAAGGGCCTTTTTTAGAGGAAAAGAGTTCATAGTTTTGTTTTTGTTTGTTCTGTTTTCTTATGGTTTTGAAGTTAAGAATAATGTAGCCTTTGATAATTTTTGAAAGATAAATGCATCTGATCCACACTACTTAAAACATTATGAAGGAAATAAACAATATTAAACATTTCTCATTTAAAATAAATAATACCCTGTTTGACTTACTCTGTTAACCAATGACAAAGCTGGAAATGAGAAAAGTGGATAACATCCATGGCATTAAAGGCTAAAATAAAATATTTCATTCTGAGAAAATTAAAACCCATGGGAGAGAAATTGCTTATAGCCAGGATCTCAGTAGAGATTGGCATGTGAAGGTTTACATACAAACATTACATGTATGATTTGACAAACTGAAACATTTTTCAGATCCTTACTCATGAGAACAGCAACAAAATGTAAGACAACTAAAATCCAGCATTCGAGAATCTACTGTATTGTTAGGAATCCATGCAAGACCATAATAATACCAGAAAAGCATGGCAAATTCTAATCATTACACTGTTCATCGCCCTTTATTGGCTTCTCAGAGGATTTACTGGCCTTCTGAGGGAAAGAACTATGGCTTTAAAAGCTTCTGTTGGTGGAGCTCATGTCCTGTTTGTGTTAGAACCTCAGGCTAACTGATGCCGCTGGAGCGCCTCACTTCCTGTTGGTGAGGATAGACTGCTCTCGCCTTTATTGAATTGTGGTGATAATGTAGGTAAATACTAGGAATACAAGAATAAGTCCTTCTTAATGATGAAACATTCTTTTTCTGTTTGTCACAGTGATCCCAACTGGTGGAAAGGTGAAACTCATCAAGGCATGGGCCTTTTTCCTTCTAATTTTGTAACTGCAGATCTTACTGCTGAACCAGAAATGAGTAAGTACTTTTCAGTCTGTTGGTGGAAGATAGATAATCCATAATCTTGATGGAAGTTGAGTAAGCTCAACTTTATAGGCAAATGACTTAAGTGGTTTTGCCTCTATGTATTTTTAACTGTGAAATTCCAGGGTGGACATTATGGTACATGCTTGTAATCCCAACTCTCCTGCAGTTCTGGTATGTGGAGGAGTGGTGCTACACAGCCAAGTTTTTGTTTCTAAAAATCAAATGAGTAAAATAAAGATCCTTACCAGAAATAATCTAAGAATCAAAATTCAAATTTTGTTATATATCCTTCTGAATAGGTGCCATAAAAGGCATAAATAAATGAAGAAGTGTTGTGGAGTTCATGTGTACTGTGAGGTCTTTTTTTATCAGCTGATAAAGTGTGGCAAATGCAGTGCAACCTTATAGATTCTGTTTTCTATATATGAGGCCAATTTCTGGTGTCTAATCTTAGATTTTTCAGTAGCAGCCTATAAGCCACATAATGGCCACACACTGTCATATTTGCAGAAGCTAGGTAAAATCTTATTTAATCAATCACATAAAGATTTTGTGTTTGATTTCAAATCCTTGCTAAATTGAAAACAAAACAAGTGTGATTGTAGAGAAAAACAATAATAGTGGCAGCTGTAATATAAGTAGGAGATAACATTGCCAGGGCCTTTGAACAATGCTGTGTCTATAGAGTCTGTAGATGGCTGTGCTGTGGTGAATCTTCATCAGAGAAACAGGAAAGTCAAAATACTCTTGTTTTTAAGAAAGCAGAAAAATATGTTAAGTATGGAAAGACTTCTGTTAGTGACTGAAAGGTTCAGGATCTTAAAAAGAACCTTTATATATAAACTGCTAAGCTGTGCTTATCTGCCAGGATATCTCACTTTTTCTCTTTGTAATAATAGGTAGAAGGATTCAAATTAAATGCCACAAGGTCTGTACTTCCTCTTTAGTTGACAAAAAATTTAAGGAAGGATTTTTGTCTTAGCTGTTTTGAACCTGATACTGAATCTTAACCACAATATATACTATATGCATATTCCTAGAATATATGCCATGGACATGCATGTTTACAGTGAAGAAAGCCTTTACTAGCATGTAAGAAATTGCAGACCTTTAATAAAATGGTCCTCTCTCATAGCTACCAAGTTGTCTTACATCAGTGTTATAGAGGCATATCTTGATTCAGTTCTCCACTGATAGAATTAAAAAGTCATTGAAACTAAACATTGCATAAACTTGGGGACTGGAGAGATGTTCTTCCAGAGGACCCAAATTTGTTTCCCAGCGCTCACATTGAATGGTTTACAACTACCTGTAACTCTAGGGGCTCTAATGCCTCTGCCTTTCTAGGGTACTTGCACTTACATGCACACACTCTGACACACAGACAGACATGTATGCATAGCTTTTTAAAAAATAAATTTAAAAGCTTACGTGAGTATATTTGAGTGGCCTTGCATAATGTGCCATGTTTTTTTAATAATCTGGTCTACCAGAGGTTTTTGCTGTATTTTGGGCTCTATTCAATGTCAGCTGTTGGCCAGCTTAGAACTTCTTTGGACTTCTGTTCAAGATGAGAGCCAAGATCATATGTCTGATATGTGGCCATTTAATCTTTGTCTTTCATCTGACAGTGCTGCTTCACTATGAGTCTTCTGAGTTTTATATGTTTCACTCCGGACAGTGTAAGAGAAACAGGAGGATCAGAACTTACATCATTCAGTCATACTCCTCAGCTTTAGAGAATGTGCTAGCAGACTCCATATAGCATCATTCTTTTACAGGAGACGGAAGCCAGTCTCACTTGACCTGTCACATGCACACATATGCCTGACTTATGGGATTTTGGAGACAGATACTATGAAAATATGCCACTATATATGTGTGAATAGCATATCATTTATACACATTTAGTATCAGTTCCTATGAGAAAGGGGGCTGCAAACGTCTCTTATTAGTTCTGTGAAGTCTGCCATGTGTTTTCTTTTGTGTAACAGCAATGAATGCAGAGCTGTCCCAGTTTTCTACTTGTTAATAGTGCACGATGGCAAGCAGAATGTCTGTCACAGATGTCTCCTTTTCCACATTAGAAAATGAGACAGCCAAACCGGGTTTTTTGTTGTTTTGTTTATTATTATTTTTTTTTTTTTTGGCATTTAGAATTTTACTTTATGGTGACTTGAATGTAATGAATGTATTCCTTACCTTTACAATTAAACAGACAATACCAAAGCCCGTAACACATTCCAACTTCTTTTCAAAGCCACAAGCCAGATTCCAGTAGTAGGGCTAAAGGACAAGAGCAGTTGACATTCAGATCCAGCCATTCCAATTGTTAGCTTTCTATTTGTACAGTAGATTTTAATCTTTCTAAACTACTTTCTTAAAATAGACAAACTATACAGGATTGTTTTGGAAATTCATCACAGCAAATTTACTATTTCATCAAGCACATTGATTTGTGTAATGATACTATTTCTGTTCATAGTTCCCCCTACTGTGACATTTCTATTTTTTTATTCCTAATATTTTTGTATATAATAGACCTCATTGATACAAGGACCAGAAATCCAAAAAAGATGATCCTTTTTGAGAATTGGCTGTGGTTTTTGTCACTTGGAGGTTCCCATATGAACAGTAGCCTCACATTTTTAGTTACGTTAAGTGGTTTTCAAAGATTGCTTGGTGAGCAAAAGAAATATGTGCATATGGCCAGTTTGCTGAATCTTACTGGTCACGTTTTACTTGTAAGTACAATGAACCTAGAAAGTCAGGCTTATGTACAGGCCAGTGCAGATTTCTGTTGAGGTCACGTACACGGTTTTTCCATGAGCCTTGATGCTACTCTCTGTGTAGAAAACCCAGTGCTGTGCCAGGGGACATGATTTTCCAGTTCACTATATTGCAGTGACATGGTATTTTATCAAAGACAATTTTTCTTTTGAGTTGTCTGGTCATTTAGACACAATTTAATAGAACTTACGTATGCCAGTATTAAGCTTTTAATTCTGAAGTAGGTAATTTTAAATTTCAGAAACAACTCAGTTTTAGTAAGATCTCTTATAGGAAGCAGAGTTTTACAAGAGAGAATTAGAAAATCTAGACCGTTTTATCAAGTAATATTCTCTGTTGTCTGTGCTGTCTGCAGCTTAGTTATTCCTCATATAGAGTCTCTAAACTCCATAGTCTCGATTAAGGACTTAAACTTTTAGATCTATTTTGAGGAAATTATAATTTTTATATATTTTTTCAGTTAAAACAGAGAAGAAGACAGTACAATTCAGTGATGATGTTCAGATAGAGACAATAGAACCAGAACCAGAACCAGCCTTTATTGATGAGGTGAGTGATTTCCTTGTTAATAGTAACGGGCACTTTGTATGGAAGCTGGATTACTTGTTTTCTTGTTCTGAGAATGTTAGCAACATAGACAAAGCTTATATCATTGTTACAGCTTTTTTGGCTTTGTTTCTACCTTACTAAAAATACAAATTTTTATTCTGCTAAGGGTTGAGAATATAGCTCAGTAGTTGAACATTTGTGTAATGTGTGTGAGACTCTGAACCAATCTCCAATGCTATAGAGAGAGGAAGAAGGGATAATAAGATAAGAATGAATATGAATTTCTGTCTAGTATTTTATAAATTGGATTTATATTGCTGCATTTAATTATTAGGCACATAATCAGTTTTCAATTTAAATTGCTGTCGCAAGGATTATTATAATGAGGGTTTTTTTTTGTTTGTTTTTCTTCTTAACATTTAGCTTAATTTTCTTAGCTTAGATATTCAGGAATGGAACTTCCAAACTGAAGGATCTGTGTTTCATGTTAATGACTACTGTGAAATTGTTGAACAGATGGGAGATTTTATAGTTTTCTTGATGCTTTGTGAAAATACCTGTTTTTCTATGTACTCAACAGCTATTAAATTATATTCACCCCTGTTAATAGTCTTGTTTTGAATAGCAGTATCAATATTGTATTGAATTGGTAAAACTATTAATCCACTAAAATTTACTTTAAAGTATTACATGATGGAATTAGCAAGCCATACAGGATGCTATCTCCAGCAGGCCAAATTTGAAGTACCACTACATTCATTTATGTATTTTTTTAGCTGTCTTTGTGCTTACGTTACCAAAGAGATTGTGTAGTCCTATGCTTCATTCCTGACTCCTGGTATAGACCAGTGTACAACACTCTTTTCAGGACTTCATTTCCTGTAATAATTCCTGAAGTCAGTGTGTATGAGAACACTTCCTGCTATTATTTTCCATTATTTTTCTCTTTTATAATTTCATTCTCCACTATACAGATAAAAACCTCATCCAGTGCCGATACTGAGCCTTATTCCAGTGCATTGATTTCTAGGGGCATTTCCAAATATTGGTGGTAGTAATGACTAGGTAGCACAATTCAAATGGCTTCATACATTTGAATTGCCAGCTAGTAGATTATTAATTAAATATAATTTTTAAATTTTTATTTTACTTTACATGTATGGGAATTTTGCCTGGATTTATATCTCTATACCGCTTGCATTCCTGATGCCTACAGAGGCTAGAAAGGGCATTGGGTTTCCCTGGAATCAGAAAAGCTGCCATATGGGTGCTGGGAATCCTCTGGAAGAGCTGCATGCAGTGTTCTCAACTGCTGAGCCATCTCTTCAGCCCCTAAGTGTGATGGTTACTGATAAGACTAAGAGCTTGAAATATGTAAACAAGGTTTCCCGTCAGTTTTATTTATAGTGTCATAAAATAGGAATATGAACGGCCATAAATCCTGACTGGTTTCATTGTCCTAAATTTGAGCTTTGTGACTTCAGTCCATTTACATATTAGTAGAAGTCATTAATGCATACAGATGAATTTAGCATATAAGAGTATTGCTAATCTATACACACATTTTATCGCAAAGAAGTTTAACATAGTCTACTAGAAGATTTTAAAGTGCATTTAGATAACATTTTGTAGGAGATAATATAATGAGATTAAGGAGAAAATCAATTTGGAATTACTGATTTAAAAAACAGTTGTTTGTTTTGCCTTCCTGGAGGTAGAACCCAGAGTCTAGTACATGGCAGGCAAGTGATTTTCTGGTGAGCCACATCTCCAGCCTAGTTTAAATGGTGGTGCTGCTGCTCTCTGTTTGAGAGAAACAAGAGTGGAAGAGTGCTAAGACCTGTGGAACATTCTGCTTGGCCAGATTGCCTTACAGAAGGAAGTAAATGAATACTCAGCTGTGGCCAATATAGAAACCATGTTGTATTAGCAGGAGACAAACATTTCTGCTGTCTTTTTAAATGTCTTTTACCTGAAAGAATATCTATTTTAAAATACAGAATTAATTTGCCTTGACAGGAACTTTCCTTTGCTTCCAATCTAATAATTCATCTCTTAAACAGTCTTTGTTTGACATATCAATTTTACCTTCAATTTGTAGTCTTTAATTTATTAGCCCTCTGTTCCTATGTATAGTACCATTACTGCATAGAAAATATGTGTGAAAAGTTTGTAATAATTTCCATAGAATTTGGTAAATGAAAAGCTCCATCTTGTACACTATGTGGGTATTTTTATGCAACTCCCTTTGTAGTTCCTTCCATCCTAAGTATTAAAGGATTTTGAAATAGACCCAAGTAAGTGGATATGATCTATCTATCATTTCCCACCAAAGGAATAAAGTACAAGTTTCTTTCTTCTGTAACAAACTGAAATGTGGATGAAAGAGAATAGAATTAATCCTTAGAGCCCCACTTAGAAAAACAACTGTGGAAGGCCTGGGCTCTGTGTGTGGAACAGCTGTCATAATCTCTGCCAGAGTGAAGTAATGACTGAGCTGGCAGTCATAGCAGGCTGTCTGAAGAGGGATATTCCAAGTGTGGTGTGGCTAAGCTACAACTGTTCTAGAACAAAGTGAAATTCTTGAACATGGTATTAGAGATTTCGGGGTTACACCTTGTAAGTTTAAATGGGTAGTTCTGTTCTGATGTGAATGTTTTGAAAAATACCTAAGGATAGTGTACAAAGGTTAGATTTCTCATGGTGCTAAAAGGAATACATAAGATGCTAAAACATAATTGGAAAATTAACTTAGATTCTAACTATGAATTGTAAAACTCTTCTATCCATGATTGAGTTATCAAAGTGAGAACATATTTCATAGAGATTGGTTGCTTTTGACATTAACTACTTAATTTCTGTAGGATAAAATGGACCAGCTGTTACAGATGTTGCAAAGTACAGATCCCAGTGATAATCAGCCAGACTTACCAGAGTTACTTCATCTTGAAGGTAACCTCATTTTCTGTCTACCTTACAAGCAAAGAGTAAACTGAGGTCTTTCTTACTCTATTGCTCCAGGATGGGTTTTGAGAGTAATCTTAGAAAAATGAAACATTACACATTCTTCCTGTGCCTTTCTCACCTTTCATATGCTGTTTGAATCTTGGGTAGAATTTGAAATCACAGACCTTACTATACAAATTATTTTATTCAACACCTTAATCTTGTACAATGGGAAAAATATTTTGAAGTCAGTATTTTAAATCGTTAATATTATATTTTAAGAAAATCTATTTTAGGTTCTATTGAAGAATAATTAATAATTTTATTACTTCACATTAAACTTTTCATTTCTTTAATTATATGAATATTTTTCAAAAGTTTACTTTTTTTGTCATCTTAGCGATGTGTCACCAGATGGGACCTCTCATTGATGAAAAGCTGGAAGATATTGATAGGTAAAGAACTTGAACTATATTTAAATTGTGTATCTTTCTTTTTCAAACCATGTCAGTAAACTGCCTTTTAAAAAGGTACTCCAGACTGCAGAAATGGTCAGATGGTAAAGAACTTGGCACACAACTACAAGGACCTGAGTTTGGATCTGTGAAGTCCACATAAAAAACTGGGTGTCGTGGTACATGCCTGTAAACCCAGTCAAAGGGGTGCGGCTAGGGAGAAAGAAAGCAGAGTATGGTGTAGATAGATCCCCGAGGTCCACTGCCCAGCCAGCCCCGGAGTCGGGATGAGCTTCAGCTTCAGTCTGTCTTAAAACTAAAGGTAGAGAGCCATAGAGAAAAGACACCCAAGTGTCTCAGGCCTCTACGTGTGCATGCAGCCATTACACATACAACACACACAGACAGGACTCTGGAGAACCAGCCTTTATTCACTGTTTTTACCTTGCTGTGAGTGAGGACTGGGGCTCATTTGCCCTTTCTTGAAAAGCAGGCTTCCTATAGGCCTTCACTGTCTTCCTCGTCCTTATATAATGATGCTCACTAAGGCAGCATTACCAGTGCCCACAGGCGGGCCATCGGTTGATAATTGAGGAAATCTAGACAGTTTGAGATAAAGTCAAGGGCTCCAGCATGGCATCTTAACTTGAAAGAGATTTTGTTGCCTCAGCACCAAGCAGAAGGCCTTTTTGTCTCAACTATTGATCACTTTTGTTATTTTGATGAGTCATAATTTAGAGCAATGTATCATTTAACAATAAATTATGTGTAATGTTTCAGAAAACATTCAGAACTCTCAGAACTAAATGTGAAGGTGATGGAAGCTCTTTCATTGTATACCAAGTTAATGAATGAAGATCCAATGTATTCTATGTATGCAAAATTACAGAATCAGCAGTATTATATGCAGTCATCTGGTGTTTCTGGTTCCCAGGTATGTTTTGTAAAGCACAGGGGTGTTGTGCGAATTCTTAAATGTATTTGAGTTTATTTGGAATGTCTTATTAAGTTTTTGTAAAATGCATGCCTATGTATCTGTGTGCTTTCGAATGTATGCTGCATGTGTATACGGTGCTTCTTGTTTGCCAGAAGAGGGTGTTGGATTCCCTGGAGCTGGATTTTCAAGTGGTTTTGAACTGCATGAAGTAATAAAATGTAGCCATGAGAACTTGTTTATCTATTCATGTAATGAAGACCTTTAGAGTTCTGATGTGAATCTGTTGCATTTAATGAAGTGTTTGGTTTCTTGGTGATTATGCTAGTTTTCATAGCACATGAATACAGTCTTGCTATCTACAAACAGTAGAATGTCTTTTCAAATATATAAACAGGTTTCACAATAAATAATTTTGTTAAGATGAAAAGTTTAAGATTTCAGTGAACCATGATGGCTCATAATGGTAGGATAATTGCTGCACAGGTTGGCTGAGCATATGGAAATGCCCATCATTCAGGAGGAAGCTGAAGCAGGAGGATTACTTTCCAGTTAAGGGCAGCTTGGACCACACCGAGAGGCTATACCAAGCCAGTCAGGGTTACAGTCTCTTTCAGAAAAGAAGGACTTCTGTCTTTAAATTTAAATATAACAACAACAGAAAGGACAGCTTTTAGATATAGGAATTGACAAACATCCAGCCTGCTGCCTGTTTTTATCGAAATAGACACAGCCACCCCATTTATTTCTGTTTTACATATAGCTGCTTTCTAAACCTATAGAATTGAGTACTTACAACAGACTTTGTGCACCTTAACCCTAGGAAGTTAGAGTATTCTCCATTCATTCAATTGGAGTTTAGAAATGTGAATTGTAAATACAGTCTAGGGCTATGAAACTATGAATTCAAGTACATTTCCAAAGTTTTGGGATTCATTTTACAGACAGACAGACAGACACACACACACACACACACACACACACACACACACACTATTTTTCATACAATCTGATCATGGTTTCCCTTCCCCTAACTCCTCCCAGATCCTCTCACCTCCACACTCCCCCAACCTCTCCCTCCCCATAAACAAGCAGACAAACTGGCTCATTTTTTTTTTTAACCCTCTTAAAAGATCAAAATGAAAGTTCAATATATAGATTATGTTAGTGTAAAGTATATTGGAACAACAGAAAGAACAGCTTTTGGATATAGGAATTGGCAATAGGAATGCTTCTATATGAAAGTAAAATCTGCTCATATAATGCTTAAGATAAAATTTTGGACTAGGAAGATGGCTCAGAGCATACAGTGCTTGCCAGACTGGAGTTTGGATTCCCACCTCTCTTGTAAATTCCAGTTGGTCACAGTAGCTCTCCTGCAATCCCAGCATATGGAGATACAGAGGGGATTCCCAGAGCAAGTTGGCTAGCTCTAGTCGCCAAATAGGTGAGCTTTGGGTTCAATAAGAGACCCTGGTTGAATAGATACAATGGGAGCTAATCCAGGAAGACACTTGACATCAGTCTTTAGCCCGCATCCTCCTATATACTCACACATGTACACACATTCATGCAGACATACATATACTTTAAAAAAGATGGAAAATCATCAAGTCTTCTAAAAAGTGCCAAATTGAAAAATTCCAATTGATAGAAGTAACATATAAAGGAAATTGGAACAGTATTTCCTGTTTCTGTAACTGAATGTCTCTGCTGAGTAACTTTGGGATATTCATTAAACTTGTCTAATGGAGTGTTTCCGCATCATCTCTTGTAGGTTTATCCAGGGCCTGCTCAGAGTGGTACCTACCTGGTTGCAGGGAATGCACAGCTGACCCATCTGCAGAGCTACAGCCTTCCCCCAGAGCAGCTGTCTTCTATCAGCCAAGGAGCAGTTCCACCCTCTGCAAACCCAGCTCTTCCTAGTCAGCAGACCCAGGCGTCTTACCCGAAGTAATTTCATTATTGATGGTTGTTGGGGTTAACATTAATTTTTTTTAATTGGTTACAGTGGTCTGTAAGCATATATCTGGATAAGAACAAGAGATAGGGATCACTGTTCAGACTGCCCTGTTTGTGTATAGAGTGGGTTTTAGAAGAAAGCAGATGGAGTCTTTTCCTTGAAGCAAGTAGGGGTAGCCTTTTAAGAGTTCACCGGCACAGTGTTCCTGGGTAGCACAGGCACACTTCCAGAAAAAGCATCAGTGTTTATAAATGTCCTATATGTACCTCATTATTGCAGTGCCCATCCACAAAGACTGGGTAAGCTTTTAAAGACGTTGTTGTTTTGTCTCCGATGTTAATGTGGCTTCAAGGAAGATAGTAAAGAAGCCCAATCCTGGCTGTATGGTACAAACCAAGTGCTGTGATTATGTGTGACACACACTGAGAGAGGTAACATTTGCACTCCATTTTGTTAATGGGAAACTGAGATACAGACTAAGGTCCCACTTAGCTAAGATCCAAAACCAGGCATTGAGGCCAGAACACTGAAATTTAACCACCTTTCTCACAGTTCAGCACATTTGGAATGATGGTGGATAGGTGTGTAGTATGCTCTGGGCACATACTAAATATTCTCTTAAATGCTAGCTGTCTCCTTTATGTTATACGCCTTGTCTCTTTTCTGCTAGCTACCTGGTAGGTGAGCCCCTGCAGTTCACACAAACTCTTTTTTCTTTTCTCTCCTCCGCTTTGTCTATCATGACAACTAATATATAATTATTTACTAATGTCCAAAATAAATCTTTCACATTAATATCGTGATATTAATGACATTACAGCTGGACACTAATCATTTCTTACCTAATCACTGTGGCTGCACAGCTTTTTGTCCTTACGAATGAGTTTGACCAATTACTGCATAAAGATAGCTTCTCATCAACTCAGATTGGTCCATCCATTCTTTGGTCCTCACCAGTGTATCTGTGGTGTTCTCTCTGATCCTGTCATCCACTTTAACCCTTCAGTTACTGTATTAACAGTATGCTCCAGCACATTCTAGCCTCTTGTGTCTCCTGCCACAGGTGCCACACCATGCCACACTGCTATATTTTTGTTGATTATGTAGCATCTTTCTATTTTTACCTCTTCTTTCAAAGATACAAGTTGGATATATATTCTTGGAGAACTTCCTCAAATCTTGAGATACTTTAATGCACTGGGTACATACCTGAATTATTTCAAGGAACTGAAAGTCGTCCCCTCACCTCTGTCTTAATGTAGAATTTGGAATTGTTGGCACTGACACTTTCACATGTAGGTATTACTTAGTTACTAAGTTCCTGGTATAAAATTGTGTCCTAAGAGATGGCTAGAAAAAGGGGAAAGAAACTCAGTCCTGGCTCTTGAAGCTGCTGTAGTTTTATAGACATAGGCACAGAAAGGAAGCAACCTAAGGAAACAGTGTCAAGAACACACATAGAGTCTGATGGTACCAGGAGTAACAAAAACCAAGGCCGGCAGAGGTATCCTAGAGAAAATGAAGCCAAGCCAAGAACTAACTAGACAACAGATAGGAAACGAGCCAAGAAGCCCAGACATTTAAAGGACATGCTCCATAGAAAGTACTGTAGAATGCACAGGTGTTCCCTTAGAGGTGACCTGAATGTTCTAATATGCGTGCCAGGTCGGGCCCATTGCATACAGGTGCTAACCTGCACAGCTACATTTACAGGTAGTGGGTAGATATGGTAGGAGTTGGAGTGTGTAGGTTGTCCTTAGCCTAAACTTTCAGGGATTTCATAAGGAAGGTGGCCATGCCTTCATCTCACTCATTGAGATTGTTTTGTCAGAAAGTGCTGATGTCCTGATCCTGTGCTCATTTCCCAAGCCCACCTCCCTTACAGTTCTGTGCCTTCCCTGTTTTTAATGTGTGTTACTGGGTCAGGCTCTTGTCACTTGGATTTCCTTTTCGTTTACTGGCCATTTCCAAACACACCTTTACATTCCTGACGTTAGACATGCACTGCTCTGTCTGGTCAGTCGTTTCCTAAGGACTTCCGTGTTACTGAATGAGTACTCTTAGTGTCTATTTCAACTCCTGCTCTCCCCGGGACACCAGGCTGCATGTGCATTGTTTTATTATGTATCTTCTGGACATCTCTCCTGCAGTGTTCAAAACCATTGGTTCTTCCTGCTCATGCCGCTCTTGTTCCAGTCAGCTGTAGTCCCAAGTGTAGTTTTTTCCTTTTAGTAAGTGGCCACTCCAGTTATTTTTATCAGTTATAAAACCAGACATACTAAACTACTTGGTCTTTTATCAAATTTCACTGGCACTTTTTTTAAAGTAGGGTGTGACCCTTCTCTCCTGTGTCCACTATGGCTCTGGACACTTGCTAGCTCCCACATCTGTTCTGTCTCCATGTGAGCCTGTCAGAAGTATGTCATATCTCATTACCTTTCTCCTCAAAGCCACCCAGTGCTTACTTCTTTCAGTGGCTGCTAAGGAACTCACCGGATCTGCTGCAGCCCCTCCCTCCCAACTGCTACTTTATCTCTTACACCACATGTGCCTTCTGCTCACTTTGTCACGAATGCCTTGACCTCTTTTCTCCTTTTTGAACACATCTAGCATTATAAAACCTCACAGGCTTCTTTATCTTATCCTGATGTGTGTCTTTCCTAGACTGTTGATGGAGTTCCTCTGCCTTCTTAAGAACTTACCCTTGAATGAAGCCTTATCTGAAAGGCCTCCCTCCAACACACTACAGAAGCAAGAATCCTTGGTCCCTGTACTTCTGGTATTTGCCATTCCCCATTTTTCTTCGCTGAGATTTTAAGCATTGACATACTATAAATTTATCAACTATCTTTTTTCTCCCACTAAAATGTAAGCTCTGTAATAATAGATACTTCTTTTCTTTCTTCATAGCATCCCAGTGCTTAAGTGACAGGGTTTGATACTTTTACATATATTTAGTAAGTTGTCAGATGAATTGTTTAATAGTTTTCCTGCTTATCCCTGAATGGGTGCATAATTCAGTATTTAGCTAATTAAGTGTTTTTCTCCCTCCACAGTGCAATGGTTAGTTCTGTTCAAGGAAATTCGTATCCCAGCCAGGCTTCAATATATAGTCCTCCTACTGCTGCTGCTGCTGCTGCTGTAGTACCTGTACCTGTTCCTGTACCTGCTGCTGTACCTGTACCTGCTGATGTCACCATATACCAGAATGCAGGACCTAACATGTCTCAGGTGCCAAACTATACTTTAACATCATCAACCCTGCCTCAAACAGGAGGCAGCCAACAGCCACCTCAGCCACAGCAAGCATATTCTCAGAAGGCTCTGCTATAGAACTTGATGTTCATCTTGGTGGCATATTTCTGCTGAATGCCACTGACAATGCTAGGAGATTCAGTAACATCCCAAGATTGGTTTTTCCTCAGCTTATAAGAGTCTATCTTGGTCAAGTTCATAATACTCAAGAAGGTAGAACTGTCTTCAATTTGCACTGACTTTTTAGAGGAATGCCCCTCCCCCGAGGAATGAAACTACAACATTTATTTCCTTTCATAATATGAAGAATTGTTACAAGATTATTGTCTTGTAAAATTACCTGGTCTGCAACACTCAAAAGATCAAAAACTGCTGTGGCAAATGTTATGTACATAGATTGACATGTAACTTCATTAGTGACCATTTGAATTACAATGGTGATCATGTGAATATATTTAACACTGTGTTAAATTAATTTACATTGTTTTATTTTAATCATGAACAAGTATGTTTGCTAATGTTTTGTGTAAATTTAAGATAAGTACACTATCTTTTTAAGCTACAAGAGAACCAAGCTGTAGCACATTGACCTGAAGGCATTGTCCTGTTGTAGTGTCACATTAAATTGAACCTTTTACTAATTGTGAGCAAAACATGTATGTTATATCTTCCTGTTGCTCCTGCCCACTACTGGTTGTCTCACACCAGCATACAGTAGCCACATTTTTGGTGCAATTAGAGGAAAATAATATTCCCTTTAAACTTTTATATTTTGGCATGATGTTCCAGGTATTGTGGACCATGAGACAAAAATTAGTCTTTTTATTTTATTTGGAAAGAAGTAACATTGATTAACTTTTTCATAGTTGACCGTGGTGATTAGGTTTTTAAAGCTGTGTTCTGTGTTTATTGGTAGCAGTGACACCAAAGATAGAGGTGATGCACATGGAGAGTTTTCAACTGGAAAAAAAAAAAAAGGAACTAACACTACGTTTTCAAAGTCTCTTGTAATTTTTAGGATATAAACAAAATTTGATTCACTTGTCTTACCCCACTAGTTTTTTTTTTTAAATGTCATTGACACATTGTATCTTTTAATTCTCATTAAAATGGATATGAATAGGTGTTTCAAAGTAATTTATATTCTGATTTTGTTTAATAGCTTTTATATTTATTGTTAAGTTTCAAACTGGAGTCTAAGTTTTTTCCTCTTGATCTCTGTCTCATTTGAAGTTCTATTAGAATTATTTTTGCTTATTTAGAAGTAATTTTAATGAATTATTTTAATCCATACAAAAAATCCACTGACATTTTAGTCATAAATATTTATAGTTCCCCTGATTGTACTATACTATTATTTAAATAACCTAAAATTTGAGTATCATGTTTCCTAGATTTGCATTTCTGAGATTTGTTTTCTTTTTGACAAATGACTTCAGCTTTGGCAAATAATGTTGAGAGTTGTTAACTCACAGATTCATATTTACAGCTCTTTCACTCTTAGTTTTACTTGAGTTTAAAGTATGTCACCACCAAATTGTAATGTTAAGATTCTAATTCAGGTGCCACATTTTAAAGTAGTTTCTTTTTTTTTAAGAAAACGTCATAAACAGGTAGATTATAATCTTTTTTTGTTCCAATTTAAATATTATGGTATACGTGATATACTTTTCTTCAGGTCATACTGTGTTTTCCTTGTATTTTTATAAGTTTCTGTTTACAACTAACTATATTCCCATTTTAATTTTGATACCTTCATGTTAAAAAACAACAACAACAAAATAGTCTCCAGTATGCATCTTACCCTTTAAGTATGTCAGTGGTGAACTGAAAAGAAGAAAAGCTACCCATTTTACAATGCATATATATTGTTTTGTATTAGATTACCAAGCAGATAAAGAGATGAATGGGTGACTGGTATGGACTCTGTCTTAGTGACTTCACTTGGGTAACTGGGCAGAAAAGTTCAGTTGTAATGAGGCACCGACCTTTTAACTTTCAAGTAGCTTGCGTGACTAGGGAAGAAAATGGGTTAATGGGGTTCGCAAGTAGTTCTGTTTGAAATACTATGCAAGTTGCACTTGAAGAAAACCTTTGCTGGGTGTGATGATGACGATGATGATGATGCACACCTTTAATCCCAGCACTCAGGAGGAGGAGGAGGCAGGGGGATCTCTGAGTTTGAGGCCAGCCTGGCCTGCTGAGAGTAAGCTCTAAGCCTGCCAGGCTACATAGTGAGATCCTGTCTCAAGAACCAAATAGCAGCAACAGCAGCAACAAATTTTTTTGACAGCCATCCATAATTTGGTAAATAGACTGTTTAAAAAACTGTCTCTATAGAGTAAACATCTATGAAGGAGATGCTTGGTTTATTCCTTTTTAGAGTTTGAGAAATGTTCTTATAAAGATGAGCCCTGAAGGAGACAGACTGCAGCTGTGTCCTGTGCTGCAGTCCCCATAGTGTTGGGTGTGATAATAATGTCACTGCCTGAGATCAGTAGTTGTGGCCTACGCTTTGTACTAAGAGAATTTTTATAGGCTTTCCTGACCCTTTGACCTTCTATCACTGTTCCCTGTCACCTCTACTTGGCTAGGGACATTTTTCTAAGATGTGCCCAGACATGCCCTTCTTACTCACTTCTTCCTTAGTTACTTCTGGAACATTTCTTTCCTCTTCCCTTTTAATACTCAAAGTGTTCAATAAATCAGCATCGTTCATTTCTAATATAGAGGGCTTTCATGTGTGACATCTGTCTCTTGGAACTTGAAAATGGTCTTTGTCCAGTGCTTAAGTTTGTATTAGATGAGTGTCCTGCATAATAAACTGTACAGCTCTAACAAACTGTAGAAATTATTTTCTAATAAGAAGTTCATTGGTAAGATTGGGCATATTTTCATGCAATGTACATTAAAATCACTGTTTTATTTTTTTACTTATTACCTTGTTTTACTTACCAATTGTATCATAATAATAATAGCTTCCTTTATAGCTCCTTTTTATGTTAATAACAAAAATTAGGGTTAAAATTTTGATTTCATTTGTCATTTTTCAACAATTTTGTTAGGTTTTTAATTTTTGTTTCTTTGTTTTGTTTAGGCTTGAAACCTGCCTGTATCTCTTAGTATAAAGAATATATAAAAGAAGCTATCTTTGTTTTTTTCTCTAAGTTCTTAGTTTTTAGTTATCTTCCTGGGAAGGGGAGTAGGAACTGCCCGTCCGGCTGCTGTTACGGTTGTTGGTTTACCAGCAGCTGTCTGCTCAAAGAAGTCTCAAGCCCACAGAGCATCAACTACACAAATACTCATCTAAATTCACTGATTACTCACGTTTTGCCTCATCTCTGTGTATGTTTATGTACATGTGTGCTTACATGTAGATTTATATGTATACACACACACACCTACTTTTGATTGGATAAACATGCTGCAGGTAGAGACTGTATGCATGAGTACTTCATGATGTTTCCTGTAAAGATCAGAACAGCCTCCCGTCTACCCAAACCACTGTCATGTCCAGGAAGACTGACTGATTCTTAACATAGTGTAACCATTAACTGTTCTCCAAACTGTCTTACATATGTGTTTTTAACTGTAAATCTATATATTCTTAAATCTAGGATTCATTCCAGGAACACATTCCACCTATCCAATGTCCCTGTACTCTGCTAGATTAATCTGGATGAATCCCCATTACAATTTTTGTTTACTCTTATGTTGACTTTTTAAGATTCATAATATATCATAGAATTTCCTACATTATTCTGGGACTTACTTCCTTTCTTCCTTCTTTCCTTCCTTCCTTCTCTCCTTCCTTCCTTCCTTCCTTCCTTCCTTCCTTCCTTCCTTCCTTCCTTTCTTCCTTCTTTCCTTCCTTCCTTCCTTCCTTCCTTTGTTTGTGGTATCCCTTAACTTAATTTTTATGTCCCATGAAAATTCTTATTTTATTTTTATACAAAATATTGTAAATAAAAAGCACATACTAAGATTAACCAGAAGAAAAGATTATGCAACCAAATTATTTGTGTACAGTTAAAATGGGCATTCAGAACAGAAGCTGTTGATCTTCTCTTGGATTTTACACTTTCACTTTCATACACATTTTTATTAATTTATCCACCATCCAAATCTGAACATACGTTTTTATCAAAGTGACCCTAAAAGATACATAAATCAGAATCATAAATCATGACTGTTTTTAGATGTAATGAAACTGCAAACTAGATGGTGTCTCAGCAGGTAAGAGCATTTTTCATTGTCATACAAGCTTGGGGACCTGAGTTCAAATCACTAGCACCAACATAAAAAACTAGATGTAGCAGTACTGTGAGACATTGTATCAGCAGGATCAAACCTGCTTATCTCCAGTTTCAGTATGAGAATAGGTCTTAAGGGTATATGGCAGCCAGTGCATAGTAGAATGGTGCATGGTAGAATGGTATACCTGATGTCCTCTGGCTTCTCTTGAGTGTGCATAGGGATTGTGTGTGTGTGTGTGTGTGTGTGTGTGTGTGTGTGTGTGTGTAGACTGCACTTAGATCACACAAACATGCAAGAAAGTAGTGAGACGTAATTTTTCAGAAATTGCACATACATAGAAACTTGGTTAGTCTTGCAGTTTCTGTCTGTAACTGATTAATCTATGGTCACTGAGGCCAGAAGAGGGCACTGCAGTTTTGTTTTAAGAAAGTGTTAAAAATAATTAGCTTCTTCCCCCTATCCTCACCAAAGTGAGCTTTTCTCAGTGATTCACACACCCATTCAGAGTGGGTAGCTTCGAGGTAATTCCATAAGTGCTATACTGTAGAAAGGCTATACTTTCAGATGCACACATTTGGTTTGCTTATAAAGATTTCTCCTTACCCTCGTGTCAGTACGAAGATGCTGAGAGGGCAAAAAGTTCTTTCTTTTTAAAAATCGGAATTGTTGATTTTCTCCATTTGATTACCAAATTGGAGTCAGATTGAGTAAAACATAGATTTAAGTTAGAAACATACAAGATGCAACAATAAATACTATTAGATTGTTAGGGTTCAGGATCCAAGTCCTACTTTAGTTGGTTAATGGATTTTATAAAAATACTACTAAAGTACTGTTTCTTAGAAGGATAGATGGGTTCTTTATTGTAGACCATTGTGTATCATAAAGACAAACATGATAGATACTGGAGATAGTATATAGTATCTGCAAGGTAGGTTACATCCCAGGTGAAAAATTTATATAAAACATATATAAGATATGGCTATTTCTCCAAACCAAAATTACTGAAAAACTAATGAACACATATTCAAAGGAGTTCCTAAAACTGAAGAAGTAAACAGATACAAATATATTTGCTTTTAAGAGCCTTCTTAACATGTTCACACATATAATTGCATAGCACAAGATAAAATCATGGCATTAACTTTCATTAAAAATGTGTCAGTTTGTTGTCACAAAGATTTCTTGGAAAGGAAGTGCTTGATGGTAATGATAGCATTTTGCATTGGAGATAACGAGTAATGTGATATATATACACACACATTCATTCATACTTTATATACGCACATATCCATCCTTAAGTGGGAATTTCATACTTTATATACGCACATATCCACCCTTAAGTGGGAATTTCATACTTTATATATGCACATATCCACTCTTAAGTGGGAATTTCATACTTTATATACGCACATATCCACCCTTAAGTGGGAATTTCATACTTTATATATGCACATATCCATCCTTAAGTGGAAATTTCAGTTTCTTGTTCTAGAAATTCAGAGGACTATCACACAGATACAGCTTTTCTTAAGAGAGCGTTCTTGCTCAGTAAATGATCTTAGGCAACTCTGTGATTCATCCCAGACCTGCTTTGTAGTTTGGGATTTACAGTGCTGGTGTACCTGCAGAGTCAGTGGTAGATTCGCTTCCCTCTTCTGCTTCTGTCTGAGATGTCCAGCCACTTGTCCCGAGTAACTAACTTGGGACATGTTAACCTATATTGTCGTATATGAGGAGGGAGAGTGGGATAGTGCTGGGTTCTGCTCTGGGGTTGTATGTTTCTAGCCAAACTGTGAGAACTTACCTTCTGAATATACTTTGGGGATACTGAAGCTGTTAGCAAGCCAGTGAGCCTTTTCCCATGAGCTTACCCTGCCAGGGCATATACTCACTGGCAGAAGTGTTATCCTTTCTAGTCGATCCTGTTTTATTGGCTCTGGACTGGCAGTAATCGTCATACTCAGCTTTACAGTACTGGGGCATGCAGAGTATTTGAATACTTAACCCAAGAAGAAAGGTAGCATGAGACTGAGGTTTTACTGTTCTCTGGGTTCTAGTGCACAGTGTATTTTGGTCCTCAAGCAAAATGGAGGAAGTGAATCTTCTCATTGACTCTGTTGTGTCTTTTCATTGGCAAGCAAACTGCTCAGATACTATAGTACTGTGACGTAGTTTCTGTCCTTGGTGCTGGTTAAGAATGTCTTGAAAATATTCTAGATGAGGTAAAAGGTCAGCATCCTAAATAGTCAAGAAAAATGTCAGTCTGTACCATTTAGTTCCAAGTTACCAATACAAAATGTTAGCTATTATGTTGATTTATTTAATGTTAGCGATTATGTTGGTTGATCTAATGAACTTTGTTTCTAGTGTCATTTTTGTCTCACACTATAATCATAGAAAATACTGGGGTTCTGTTGTGACACTGTCATACTTGCATGTTTGTACCTTGGTCATAATCATTCTCCATTATCGACCTCTCCTCCACTACTCCCCAGGTAATTCTACTCTATGTTCATGTCATCTTTTTTTATTTTTATTTTTATTTATTTTTACAGGTACATAAGGGTAAAGTATATTTATGCTTGATTTTAGAAGATTAGATATTGTTTGTATTTTTTCAATTATTTTCTGTTCTAATGAAGTCCACAAAAGTTAAAGATATAATGGCTTACATCAAGTACAGTGTGTGTGTGTGTGTGTGTGTGTGTGTGTGTGTGTGTGTATCTCCTCTTGTTAAGCTATTGATTTGGGGAAGAAGAATTTTTTTTTTTAAATTTTGTAACCCAGGCTGGTCTTGAACTTGTGCCTCATCATTCTATCCCTAGGCCAGCCTGTTTTTTGTTTGTTTGTTTGTTTTGTTTTGTTTTGTTTTGTTTTTCTGTCTCATTATAAAGTCTTTCAGAAATGGCTCCAGAATGAATGAAGTACTCATGTTTTCTTTCCTTCAGTTGGGAAATACCTCTATGTCACAATAAATACTAATTTTACATCTTCTTTTTCTTTAAAAGCAACTCATACTGTAATAAAACTTAGATATTTTGACATAAATATGAATGTCAGGGCCATCTTTTAGTTATGTAGTTGCCAAATATGAACTCAAATGGAGAGAGACGGAGCCTCCTGGATTCTCTCAAGTTAACCTTATGCGCATTTGAAGTAGAAGGGCCTGTCTAGCATGGACAGATCTCTCTTAGGCAGTAGATCCAAGTTTTATTGTTTGCTAAGGGTAGATAAAATGGTAGAGTACAGAGTTTTACTTTTGTGCTTGTCTTTCACATATTGAAATTATTACCTCAAAATTAGCATGATGGGAGCAAATTTTGTTTCTGATGTTCATCAGGAGTTTATAATGATTTATACTGATTTGTACCATTGTGACACAAAGAAATACCATCTTAAAAACTTTCTGAGGGCCAGGCGGTGGTGGCGCACGCCTTTAATCCCAGTGCTTGGGAGGCAGAGGCAGGCGGATTTATGAGTTTGAGTCCAGCCTGGTCTACAGAGTGAGTTCCAGGACAGCCAGGACTACACAGAGAAACCCTGTCTCAAAAAACCTAAAAAAAAAAAAAAAAAAAACCAAAAAACTTTCTGAGGAATATTGAAATGTAATTCTGTTTATTTTGTCTGCGGCAAATTTTACATGAAGTATTCAGTTCACGTTTGTTTTATCTATAACT